CCCCCCCCCCCCCCCCCGGCGCCTTGCCACCAAGGAGCTTTTTGACTACCTCAGCGGCCTCTGCCAGGGATATGGGTGAGCCTCCCCCTAGATCTTCAGGCGCTGCCTCCTCTGCAGAGGACATGTTGGTCGGGTTTAGGAGTTCCTCAAAGTGCTCTTTCCACCGCCCGACGATGTCCCCTGTCCGGGTCAGCAGTTCCCCCCCCCTGCTGAGAACAGCCTGGGGTAAGCCCTGCTTTCCCTTCCTGAGCCATCGGATGGTTTGCCAGAACCTCCTTGAGGCCAACCGAAAGTCCTTCTCCATGGCCTCCCCAAACTCCTCCCATGCCCGAGTTTTAGCATTCGCGACCACCGCAGCTGCAGCCCTTCTGGCCTACCGGTACCTGTCAGCTGCTTCGGGAGACCCCTGGGCCAACCAGGCCTTGAAGGTCTTCTTCTTCAGCTTGACGGCTTCCCTCACCTCCGGTGTCCACCACCGGGTTCTCCGGTTGCCGCCACGACAGGCACCGATGACCTTCCGGCCACAGCTCCTAGCGGCCGCGTCCACAATAGAGGCTTTGAACATGGTCCATTCGGATTCCATATCCCCAACCTCCCTCGGGATGTGAGAGAAGTTCTTCCGGAGGTGGGAGTTAAAGACCTCCCGGACAGGGTCCTCCGCCAAACGTTCCCAGTTCACCCTCACTACACATTTGGGCTTGCCAGGTCTTTCCAACCGGTTCCCCTGCCATCTGATCCAACTCACCACCATGTCTATGTCTTGGACACTCACCCGAGTGTCCAAGACATACGGAGCAAATCAAATGATACGATTACAAAGTCGATCATTGATCTCCGGCCTAAGGTGTTCTGGTACCAGGTACACTTATGAGCCACCTTATGTTCGAACGTGGTGTTCGTTATGGCCAAACCGTGGCAAGCACAGAAGTCCAATAACGAGACACCATTCGGGTTCAGATCGGGCAAGCCGTTCCTCCCAATCACCCCCCGCCAGGTTTCTCCATCATTGCCCACGTGAGCATTGAAGTCCCCCAGGAGAACTATGGAGTCGGTAGGTGGCGCCCTTTCCAGGACCCCTCCCACCGACTCCAAGAAGGCCGGATACTCTGAACTGCTGTTTGGTGCATAAGCACAAACCACAGTCAGAGCCTTGCTCCCCGCAACCCGTAGGCGCATGGAGGCGACCCTCTCGTTCTCCGGGGAGAACTCCAACACAGCGGCGCTCAGCCAGGGGCTCGTGAGTATCCCCACTCCCGCCCGGCGCCTCTCACCCTGGGCAACTCCGGAAAAGGACAAAGTCCAACCTCTCTCCAGGAGCTTGGTTCCAGAGCCAGCGCTGTGTGTGGAGGTAAGTCCAACTATATCTAGCTGGTATCGCTCCACCTCCTGCACCAGCTCTGGCTCTTTCCCCGCTAGCGAGGTGACGTTCCACGTCCCTAGAGCTAGTCTATGCTGCCGGCGATCGGCTCGCCCAGGCCTCCCGCCTGACCCGCCGCCCGGTCTGCATTGCACCCGACCCCGATGCTTGTCCCTGCGGGTGGTGGGTCCACAGGGTGGCTGCTCCATGCTGGTTATTCGGGCTGAGCCCGACCGGGCCCCATGGGCAAAGGCCCGGCCACCAGACGCTCGCCGAAGAGCTCCCCTCCTGGGTCTGGCTCCGGGAGGGTGCCCCGGTTTCCCTGGTCCGGGCGAGGTGGCTAAAGTCTGTGGGCTGCTTATCATTAGGGTCGTTTCAACCGCTCTTAGTCTGGGCTCTCCCCCGAGACCTGTTTGCCTTGGGAGACCCTACCAGGGGCTAATGCCCCGGACAACATAGCTCCCAGGATCACTGAGCCACTCAAACTCCTCCACCACGTTAAGGTGGCGATTCGCGGAGGAGCCACACAAAGAGGAGAAAAAGAAGACATGATGAGACGTCTCAGATAAGTGTGATAGAATTAGAAGAGCTAATATATATATATATATATATATATATATATATATATATATACATATATATACATATATATACATATATATATATAGTGCTGCAGAAAAGTCCAATCAGTTTAATTAAACACAGCTGGACTCCAATGAAGGAGTAGAACCATCTCAAGGAGGATCAGAAGAAATGGACAGCATGTGAGTTAAATATGAGTGTCACAGCAAAGGGTCTGAATACTTATGACCATGTGATATTTCAGTTTTTCTTTTTTAATAAATTTGCAAAGATTTCTACATTTCTGTTTTTTTCTGTCAAGATGGGGTGCTGAGTGTACATTAATGAGAAATAAAATGAACTTTTTTGATTTTAGCAAATGGCTGCAATGAAACAAACAGTGAAAAAGTTAAAGGGGTCTGAATACTTTCCGTATTCAGCGTAACACTTTTAAAAAATTATAAATGGCAGGTGTTTCCAACATAATTCCCATCTTAAATGTGTTCTATATATAAATGTATGTTGACCTTATACTGCAATATAAACCATGATGCATCTTCAAAACTAGATCAGATGACTAATACACAAAAAAACGCATGTTATCTGATCCTGCAAGCATAACTTTATTTTTCCATCATGCATATTTGTAAAGTGTTTCCTTTAATATTTCCAGGCCTGTTGTTGAATCAGAAAGGAATTTGGGCTTGTTCTGAAGGAAAACACTCAGCGGAACATCTGGTTCAAGTTCACTTCTTTATTAAAGCTGGCAGCCACCCAACCATTACATATAATCGCCTCCTGGTTTGGTCCTCACCAACTATTACACACATATCTGGTTCTTAAAGGGATAGTTTGGGTGTCTTGAGGTGGGATTGTATGAGGTGCTTATCCATAGTCAGTGTATTACCGGCAGTAGCTGACGGTCAACATGCACTCAGTTTGTAGAAACAGACTGGAGTACCAAAGCAATGAAGCCGATATATCCATCAAACGCTTTAAAACACCAACATCCCCACAGTAACAATAACAGAGTAACTAATCGAGGCAGCGAGACCAGCTACTCCCGTGTTCTGCGAGGTAAAATTACAGTTTTTGTCAAAGTAGTCTTGTTGCTATAAAGAGAGCACAGATGGTTCACATTGTTGTTGCTTCTTTTAAGTGTCTAAAATGTGTTTTGCTGCTGCCTGTCCGCAGCAGTACATTGCTTAGTTTCCTTGCTGGTACTCCCGTCTGTCTCATCCACTGCAGCTAATACACTGACTATACGTGCCTCACACAACCCCACTTCAAAACATTCAAACTATCCCTTTATTAAACTCTTTCTGTCTGCTGCTTTGGTGTTGGCTATGTAGTACACAGTGAGCTTGTTGTGGAAACAGGCTGAGGTGAATAAAGAAATCACTATGAGTGAAACCATATTGATTAATGGTGCTTTAATGCAAAACCACTCTAAACGTTTTTTAATGTATTATA